AATAAATAAAATTTAAAAAACAGAAAAAAGTTATTCCCTTCACATAAATGTATTTATATGAATGAATTATTTCCATGCTTATATCTATAAATACAAAAAAGAGGAATAAAATCTACCTTGAACCAAAAAAGAAAAAAAAAAAAGAACCCACCAGTTATACAGAGGAAAACCCTATCAGGGTACTTGCTCCAGTGGTAAACAATTCTGAAGTTGGTCAGAGGTGGGGAATCGTCTCCCATGCAGCCAGCAGCCCCCCCATCCCCCACGGCAAGGAGAGTCCTCATTGCAAAGCTAGGGGACCGTGCCGAGGCGTCTGTGAGTAAACGTGAGCTGAGCCCCAGGCCAGCTGCTGCTGAACTGTTCCCACCCTTCCCAGGTAAAATACCTGAATATGTACAAGGACTTGAAAGCCTACAGGAAGGGCCATGGAGCCACGCCAGCAACAGCACGCCAGCCGACTTGGTGCCTGCAGGCCAGCCAGGATTGTCATGGCCCCGGGCGCTCTTCTGGAATCTTTCCATTTCCCTGCCTGAGATACCCCTCTTGTCCAGGCCCCCACTGCTTTTTTCTTTCCTCACCTCTGCCCGGGGAGAAATTCCAGCGGCAGTTATGGGTGACACATCCTCTTCTTTAGCAGGTGGCAGCCTGGCAACTCCTGCAGAAAGTCCAGCAGAGCCCCACTCACACCGGGCCACCCACAAAGGCGTAGCCCCTCACTCCCACCCATCAGCCCAGCCCCGACACGGCTGACGGGGCAGAGAATATGGCGTCAGGCACAGCTGCAGGGGCTCTTGCTGCCTGGAGCGGTGTTTATATTGATCTCAACCCAGGCACACCTGGGGAGGGCTGGCCCGCACGGTCAGGCTGCGCAGGTCAGCCAATCCTCACCCCTCAGGGGCTCACAGTTGCAGAAAACGGAACTTGCTGAACCGGCCAGGTCCAAGGAACAGGTGTGGGCTCCTGAGAGTCAGGATAGACAAGGGGCTGCAGCTCTGGCTTGTTTTCTAATCATTTTATCTGGCCCATGAGTGGGAGACAACTTCAAGAAGACCCTCTCCTAATGAGAGGAACCCAGGAGTCAGGGAGAGGAGGGGTGGTGGGTGGAGACAGAGGCCTGGTGCCCCAGCTGCAGTGGAAGTCTCTGGAAGGCCAGGCAGAGGGTGGCCGCACAGGGGAAGAGCGCATCTCTGCCCATCTGCATTGTCATCAAAGGAGACGCCACTCAGCAGCGTGATGTGCGTGCGGTGGTGGGGCGTGTGGGGAGGGGGGCGCGTCCTCCTCCACATGGTCAACACAGAGCTGCAGGGGCTGCCCTCAGAACTCGCAAGGTGGGCTTCCTTTGTGGCGCAGTGGTTAAGAATTCGCCTGCCAATGCAGGGGACACGGGTTCGAGCCCTGGTCTGGGAAGATCCCACATGCCGTGGAGCAACTAAGCCCTTGCACCACAACTGCTGAGCCCACGTGCCACAACTACGGAAGCCCACGTGCCTAGAGCCTGTGCTCTGCAACAAGAGAGGGCACCGCGATGAAAAGCCTACACATCACAACGAAGAGTAGCCCCTGCTCTCCGCAACTAGAGAAAGCCCGCGCGCAGCAACAAAGACCCAAAGCAGCCAAAAAAAAAAAAAAAACAAAACAAAAAAAACTCGCAAGGCGATTGGAGAGTCCTGGCAGCAACTACCTGTTACTGTCAGGAGGAGGAAGTCAGGACCCGGTACAAAGACAAGAAGGGGAAGGGAGTGGGAAAGTCGGGGGCATGAGACATCGTATATATGAAGAAAAAACGCAAGCAGACATCTCAAGTGCCACCTCTGCATCTGCTCACACGCTCAGCCTCCAGCTGCACTCCCCACCCTTCTCACCAGCCTCCTATGCTCCTGCATACACCCGTACTCACCACGGTGTCTTGCTGGGCACATAATGAATGCCCAATAATACAGAGTTCCTTTCATTTAAAGGAGAAGCATCCTTTAAATATCACAACTGCAGAGCCCGCGTGCCACAACTACTGAGCCCACATGGCACAACTACTGAAGCCTGCATGCCTAGAGCCTGTGCCCTGCAACAAGAGAAGCCACTGCAATGACAAGGCCACACGCCGCAGCGAAGAGTAGCCCTCGCTCTCCGCAAGTAGAGAAAGCCCGAGCACAGCAACAAAGACCTAATGCAGCCAAAAACAAATAAAATAAGTTAATTTTTTTAAAAAAGCTCATTCATCTGTGCCACCGAGAGGAATCAAAATTATTTTCTAAGAATTTGGACCTAACCTGATAGTAACGTGTTCTAGAGAAGAGCACTACTTTTGGAGTTTGAGCTTGGCTCTGCCTTTTAACTGTCATCTGGGGTACGTTACTAAATCTCTCTGTGACTTAGTTTTCTCATCTGTAAAATGGCAATAATCCTGTCTGTATTGGAAACAATGTTGTGTGTCTTCCTAATTACAATTGCTCCCTGAATACCACCGCAACACACACACACGCTCACACACATACACCCTTACACAAACACACACACAGAGCCCTCAACAGCTTTGTTTGTATTGTCAGTTTGGGGGGCGCGGGTGACATCTGACTCAAACCAGGCCAAGAAGATTCTCTCCTCTGGCATTTTAAATTTGTGATTGGGAAAATCTAGTACTTTCTGGACTCATCTTGAACTTGAGGGCTCAGGGGAGGTAACATTCCCCCTACCATATGGTTTGAAAAACAGAGGAAGATGGTCAGCAGAGAAAGAAAGATGAAGTAGATGTGAAAGTGAAGCAGAGGACTTCCCTGGTGGCTCAGTGATTAAGAATCCACCTGCCAATGCAGGGGACACGGGTTCGAGCCCTGGTCCGGGAACATCCCACATGCTGCAGACAACTAAGCCCGTGTGCCACAACTATTGAGCCTGCGCTCTAGAGCCTGCGAGCCACAACTACTGAAGCCTGCATGCCTAGAGCCTGTGCTCTGCAACAAGAGAAGCCACCACAATGAGAAGCCTGCGCACCGCAGCAAAGAGTAGCCCCCGCTCGCCGCAACCAGAGGAAGCCCACGCACAGCAACGAAGACCCAACGCAGCCAAAAATAAATTAATTAATTTAAATAAATAATAATTTTTTTAAAAAAGAAAGTGAAGCAGAAATGACACCCTTGCATTTTCATACTAAATTCCCTCTTTTAGCAATCAGACTCCTAACCAACAGACCACCTCACAGCCTTGTTAGGATTAAGTGTGAGGAGGTCGGTAAAGAACCTAGCCTGGAATGAAGCCAGTGCTCACTAAATGGCATTTGGGAGTTGTTATGCCCTTCACTCACATCTGGAGTGGGCTTCAATTCAGATTACCGGTCTTGGTGAGATTTTTTTTGTCACAAGACAAAATTTTCTTTAGGCTTTATAAAACTATAAGGCTTAAATGTCTACTTAGCTGACAGCACCAAATAACTGCATGCCAAGGTAAATCCAGGGAAGACGAGGGCCTCATTACCAAGACTCTGAAGGCCCCACTCAGCTTCGAGTAACCGAAAGGACAAACTAAGGGAACCAGCTTAGGGAACCAGCAAAAGAGTACCCAAAATAAAATCAGAAAAGAGGACATCTAAAAGGAAATGAATTTAATTTTGACATACCTTTGAATTTTGTGCAATTTAAACTTTTTTGTAACATTTTAAAATATTTGGAATTACATATGGATTGATATTCTTGTCAGCGTTCAGCATCTCTAAAAGTTTCTTTCTGGCTCTTACCCTGTTACAGAAATTAGACACCAACCAATCTCAGCGTTGGGATAGGCAGGATCGAGTTAAGGTAGTTTGCAAAATTACATAATGAATAACCCATAAATGTACTCCTTAACCCACCTAGGGGTATTAGCACTTTGTGAGGTCAGTTGTTTGCCCAAAGGACCTCTAACTGGTGCATTTCAGGAACTGTGACAAATGGAGCATAACAGGGCAGCTCTCTTCCTGTAGCCCCAGAATTAGGAACCAGGGGCCCTGGGGAAACGTCAAGTACTGTGCTTTGTAAAGAGAAGTCAACCAGCTCCCCAGGGTCTTATTAAGAGGTTACAAACTGGTCCTGCCATTACCAACCAGCCCAGTCGTCCTCATCTCACATTAAGATAGACATTGTATGAAACACAGTTTTGATGGCCAGAATTCATACATGCCTCTCCCCCATCCCTGCTGCTACTGGGGAGGGAAGAGGGCCTATCCCTCCAGAAAACCAAGGGGAGCACTTGTTTCAGAGAATCACTCCCCTAGTGTAGGAGTGTGTACAAGAAGGGGGGAAATGAAATTCACTGCCTAGCTGGTTGGTTACTGCAGTCGCACCCCACCCCCACCCCAGTGCTTCATGATGGGAGACATTCTGGAAGAGTTTAACACGTATATCAGGAAATTGGGTCTTCAGAAATGAAGGTGGATAAGAAGAGGTGGAACTCCATCCCAAGACAATTACACGTATCATACAGGCAAAGGCCACCACGTCTGCCTGGTGCCCAGGAGTAGAAAGAATCAAACCAAGCCAGAAGGAGACTAGAGTCGCCTCCTTACCACCAGCAGGTGACCTAAGAGCACCCTTGCTGCCTCTCCTACTGCCTCTCCCTGCCCTCTAGACCAGAGGTGCCAGGGCCCAGAACAAGGAGGGGTGAAGTGAAAGAGCAGGCTGTACCTCCACCAGCTAGCGCCCAGTTCCTACATTGTAAGCACTGTAAGGACATATTCCTCATGCCCAGCATGTGCCTGGCCCAGAGAAGACATCTGATACTTGTGTTGAAAAAGGAATGAGTGAATGAAAGTATCCCAATTCACCTTTCTCAGTCACTCACTGCTTTCCTGGTTTAGGAGTCATATTTGTCAGTCAGAGGAGGGTGTTCCCTTGGCTCAGAGACTTGCTTAGGTAACAATGTGGCATAACCCAAAGTATACATGATGTGTGTTCTCCAGACATGTCAGCTTCTGGGCGGGGCTTAGGCTCCCACAGACTCCAGCCCCACCCTTGGCATTTCATCCCAGCTCAGGGGGCAGAAGAGGATAAATTTCAGCTGTTCTCAGCCCTGCTGCATCTTTCCCAAAGACCTCCGACAGCAGCATGAATTGGGGAGGCTTCCTCCTCCTTGTGACCCTAGTTGCCCTCAGCTCAGAGGTACAGGAGCTTCAGGCTGCCATGAGACCCTTGAAACTTCTGGGTAAGTCCATGCAGAAGGTAGCCCCGTCCTTTTTTGTATGAGGGAGCCAGAAAGTAAGCCATCGGGGACCAGTGGGTGCAGGGGCAGGAGGGGAAGAAAGGAGAGACGGGAAGATATTCCTGTCAAGGAGCCATTGCAGGGACCCACCTTGACTGTAGAATCTCTCTGCTTCTGCTTTTACTTTCTCCCCTCCTTTCCCCGGGTCACCCCTCCATCTAGACTCTCCAAAAGGGGAGCCTTCTGCACCCTCATCAGCCACCCTCCATCTCCCTGGTGTCTCTCTCTCCACCAGTTTCTTTGTCTCTTGCTGCAAATAAATTGGATCGCCTAGAGAAAACATTTTCTTAAATATGTGAACCATGAATCATCCCAATCTCTTTTTTTCCTTTTACCACCAACATTCTCAAAGGGGTAACCTTCATTCTCCCCTTTCTTCCCCATAACTCACTCCTTAATCCCTTGAAGACTGACTGTAGTCTCCATTGCTGTCCCCATCGCTCTCCCAGATCTCCTTGACAAATCACTTGACTCTCTTCAGTAGCCAGAGTCTTTAACCTCTGCAGCATCTGACATTGTTTGTCACTCCATCAATCCTCCAACTTTCTTCTCTCTTACATTATCGTCACTTCTTCTCCCTAAATGTCATTGGATTCAACTCTAACTCGTCTCTTCTTTGTTCTCCTTGCCCTACATTAAATTGGTTCCCAAATACCATTCATTCTTTGAAATTGTTTCTTACACATGTTCCTTCCTTTCCAACCCCCATTGCCACACTGTATTTCCAGTCCTGATTACTCCATGCTTGGGCCAGTGCAATCGTTTCCTGACAGCTCTCCCTGCCCCTCTCTTCCCTGTTAAGTTTGCTTGCTTGTGGAATCCTGGTCTATTCTATGCTCTCACACCAGATAATCTTCATAAGTAAACAGCCATCACATCCCTCTCTTGACCTACCAAATGAAATCTCAACTTCTCAGGTCCGCAAGATCTGCCCTCTGTAACTCTGTCCCCTGCTTACCTTTCTGCCTTAACTTCCAAATGTTCCCTAATACTTATCCAGCCTTCCATTTGCTACTCTTCCTGTATTTCTTTTATTTCAGGGTTAAGAGTGAGGAGATGAGTCATATAGGGTACAAAATTTAGGGAGGTGCTCACCCCCAGGATTGCACAAGTGCCTCCTTAAATTTTGTGTCCTGGGTGCCTCATGCACCTCTCCCTAGTCCCACCCTGTTGCATTTTCCCTTTGTGAACTTTGGCTAGTAATTCTTTTCTCTTCTCTACCATCCATCTCAATTCTGCCCTTAAAAGATTTCCATACTTCAAGACTCAGCTTTCCTGATTAATTAGAAGTAATGTCCTCTCTTTTCTGAGCTCCTTTAGTCCTTTGGATAAACCTCTCTCAGGGCACATGTCACATACTGCTTTGCTTTTAGTACTTTAAACATAAATCCTATCTCCATTGTTAGACTCTACGCTACTTGAAGGTAATAACCTGATCTTACATCTTCGTACTTCCTGAATAACTTACCGCTGTGCTTTGTACATAGTAAGAAATCAACAGATGTTAATGAGTGACCAAACTACTGTGAGTGGAGACAAGAAGTCTCCCAATTCTCTTACCATAAACCAACAACGGCTAATAAAAGCATGGAGGGATGGTGTTGATCTTCTCTGAGGTCTGCAGGTACATTGTAGACATCCCACCAGGCCCCCGTCTTACATCCTCAGACATTGCTAATCAATCATAGCACTCTTTCTCTTTGAGCCTGGACAAGGTGTCCCAGCACTTCTCAACCCAGCATCAGAATAGCCACCTCTATTGATTGGAGTTGACACTGGAGAGTGAACTTCATCCACCTCTGTTGGATCCAAGGGCTTCTTTTTACATATGAGAATACAAAGGCCCAGAGAGGTGCAGAGACAGAATCAGGTAGAGAATCTCCTGATCACAGCTGAGCAACCAACCCAAGCACAGCACACGTTCGTCCAGAGCTCTGCACACATTTTGTTAGAAACCCTTGGTGGGGGGGTCTTAACTAGCTTCTTGGACCTATTTCATTGGCCCTCGAAGACTAACCTTGAGGCTCTGGGAACATGGGGAGCCTCCACTCAGGTCAGGAGTGACTCCTTGAAATCTGGAGATGTGCTCTTCATGTCAGGGTCAGTTTCACCCTGTGGGATGGCAGAGGGAGCATGGCCTAGGGGCCAGGCGGGTCTGGGTTGGTTCCCACTTCTGTACTGACTAGTAGGAGAGTCACCTCTGTGCACCCCAGCTGCCACTCTTATAAAATGGGGCCAGTCAGACTCACTGCACAAGGTGACTGCAGGGCACCCTTGCTGCCATTTGGTAAATGTGAGTCTCCCCTTCTCTGCCCCTTTCCCTGCAGAGAGGAGAAGTGAGGACATTGAAGTGGACTTCTTTGCACTTCCCCTCCACAGGCACAATTATCCCCTTCTTTAAAGTAGGCCTTGCTTTGTTGAGATTGTGTGAATGCATTGTTTTTCACTGAAACATATAAAATGTTAATGAGTGTTATTTTGCAAGTAATCATTTATAGATTATACTATGGATTGAACCAAAAGAAGAAAGTGGAATTGGCTCCTTAATCAAGAGCTGGCCTCTCTAGCACCTGTGGCTATAGCATGGCGGTGTTCAGCTGGTCTGTTCTAACGTAGGCACCTGCGTTGAGCTCTGCAGTGGTGACTGGGACTGTGGTCCAGAGGAGCACTGCGTCAGGAATGGTTGTGGCCACGAATGTGTCTCGGACTAAGGACAGGTAAAAACATCAGGCCCTTCCCTGCTTCCTCAAACCATGTCCAAACCAGGCAGGCGGTACGCTTGGCCCCAATAAGACCTTCCAGAAATGAGTGGGATGGAAGCCAGTCTCTCTGTGGCCTCTTCCTCATCACCCACCCTTCCCAAGAAAAAGAAGCACCTATCACAGGATGGTGGTTTCCAAATCTTTAAAATAATTTCATTATCCGGTATATCCTAGAGAAAGATCAGACTATTTGAGGAAAAAAAAAAGATAAAAATCACCCATAACCCTCCACCCCAAAATGATGTTTGCTTAACACTTTGGTACACATTGTAACACATACACACATATATAATATTTATTAAAAAAATGAGATAATCTGGGCTTCTCTGGTGGCACAGTGGTTGAGAGTCCGCCTGCCGTTGCAGGGGACACGGGTACGTGCCCGGGTCTGGGAAGATCCCACATGTCGCGGAGCGGCTGGACCCGTGAGCCATGGCTGCTGAGCCTGCGCGTCCGGAGCCTGTGCTCCGCAACGGGAGAGGCCACAACAGAGAGAGGCCCGCGTACCGCAAAAAAAAAAAAAAAAAAAAGAGATAATCTTGTACCTATTTTGATTTCTTGATTATTTCACTTAGAAATAGCTAGTGAGGGAATTTCCTGGCGGTCCAGTGGTTAGGACTCTGAGCTTTCACTGACAAGGGCCCGGGTTCGCGGGTTCGATCCCTGTTTGGGGAGCTAAGATCTCACAAGCTGCACAGTGCGGCCCAGAAAGAAAAAAAAAAGAAATAGTTAGTAAACAACTTTTAATATCAACACTGATGTTTCTATCCCATCATCTTTAATACCCTTCACGTGTGCTCCATATGTGCATGTATGTTCATGCACATATGTTCATACACATGTATGTTCATATACTTACCAACCTCATTAATACACATTTAATATATTTCTTATTTTTTACATCATTAATATGGCTGTAGTGAATACTGAATTGGTATATATGCCCTTATTAACTTCCTTGGAATAAATTCTAAGGTGTATAATTGATGACCAAGGAGTATGCTAATTTTAAGCCTTAGGTGCACATTGCCATATTATACTATAAGAACCCCTTTACTATAAAAATATTTCAGGGGCCTCACATGGTATTTCCTTTATTGTCAATAGTCATTGATTGAAAAAAATGCATAATAGAAAGCTACAAGGATTCAGTTTTTTTTTTTTTTTTTTTTGCGGTACACGGGCCTCTCACTGTTGTGGCCTCTCCTGTTGCGGAGCACAGGCTCCGGACGCGCAGGCTCAGCGGCCATGGCTCACGGACCCAGCCGCTCCGCGGCATGTGAGATCTTCCCGGACCGGGGCACGAACCCGTGTCCCCTGCATCGGCAGGCGGACTCTCAACCACTGCGCCACCAGGGAAGCCCAAGGATTCAGTTTTGATTATAAATTAAGTGGTGCTGAACACAACAGAATCAACACACACTTTAAAAATAACTTGCTTGTGTTCAGAATGTATTATTTTTCCTATCCACCCACAATCCTTGGGGTGCTTATGGCCTTGCTGGTTCCTGGCAGGTTCTTACTGATTCCCAGAACTGGGAACTCTTGCCTCTCAATTGTATTCTGTGGATCCAGGTCCCCCAAACAGCAGGTCTCATGCCTAATTTTTTTGTCCATTTCGCAGATGAAGACATCCTAAGGGCCATCCTTCTCTAATAGTTGTTCATCCCTTCCTGGAGTTCCTGTCTTCAAAGATGTGACTATTTGAAACTCCTTGCCCAGAAAGACAGATGAAAATGGGGGCCCGTGGATGGAGATGACAAAGGATGTGGTGGGGAAGGGAAAATAATTGTTTCTTTTAATAAATCATCATCATTGGGCTTCCCTAGTGGCGCAGTGGTTGAGAGTCCACCTGCCGATGCAGGGGACACGGGTTCGTGCCCTGGTCCAGGAAGATTCCACATGCCGCGGAGCGGCTAGGCCTGTGAGCCATGGCCACTGAGCCTGCGTGTCCGGAGCCTGTGTTCCACAACGGGAGAGACCACAACAGTGAGAGGCCTTCGAACCACCCCCCCTCCAAAAAAAATCATCATCATTAAAAGTACCTATACTACTTAATTTATTTGGTGAGGGGTGATAGGAGGAGGAGGTGGCAGTGAGGGAGAGATGACATTTGTTGGACACTTGCTATGCAACAAGGACTGTGTTATACGCCCCACAAGTATCATCTAATTTATCCTTACAACGACCTTGTGACAATTCTTCTTCTCACTACCATTTTACCTATAAGGACACTGAAGTTCGAAGAAATTAAGTAATTTGTTCAAAGTCACATAGCAGGTAAGTGTGAGGGCCTTAACTATACTTCCATGTCACATTCTAAGGCCTATAAGTTATATCAATGGCATAGTGATTAGGAGATCCAACTTTGAATTTCAAACCCAGGCCCACCACACAACTGTGTGGCCTTCAGCAAGTGTCCTAACCTTTCTGTGTTTCAGTTTCCTGATCTATATAACAGGATCTATTAGGTTGGCCAAAAACGAACTTTTTGGCCAACCCAATACTTCATAGAGCTGCAAAGGTGGAAACAGTTAGTTCGTGTAAAGTGCTTGGAATAGTGCCTGACACGTGGGAAACATTAAGTAAATGTTGACTAAATGATTATTATTATCAAATTGATAGGCTAATGACTCTTAGTCCCAATTTTCTAAGACTCTAGAACAGAACACAAGGCTAATCCTCCTTCCTGGCCTCTCACAGTTCATCCGGATACTGAAAGCCAGCCCCTCTCTCCTGTTTTCTCCATTATGAAATGTGGGAGGTTAAAATAGACTTGAAATTTCTTGTCTATGTGTTTCACAGTCACAGACCTAAGATTCAACTGGCCCAGGTTGTAGACTGATGTTGACTAATTTACTGCCTTCATTGCCGCTGACAAACCATTTAAACTGTTTAAATTTTTTCTCTTTCAACCATTTAAACTTTCTTTGGCTATAAAAAGGGAGAAATAATAATATCTACCTCATTTGGATCCTAAGGTTAATAGAACTTTACAGTTTACAGAACATTTGATTTTCATACCAACCAACAGATGGCAAATAGGGGGCTCTGATAATAATAGTAACTTCATTTATTCTGTCAACAGGTATTGTGGGTTGCCTGTCACATCCTAGGTGCTGTGCTAGCACTGGGGATACAGTAGTGAACCAGACAGATGTTATCTGTGCCTTCACAAAGCTCACATTCTATAAGAAGAAATAGGTAATAAACAAGTAAACAAATAAAGAAGATAACTACACATTATGGTCAATGTTCTGAAGGAAATAAGGATGTGAATTAGAAATGGGGGGGGGGATGTAAAGTAAAGCCTACCTTAGTTAGGATGATCTAGACCCTAATGAGGCAATAAAAGCGAAGTCTTAACAGGGTTCCAAAACATGAAAGAAATGAAATTCCAGAATGAGACTCCAGATCCCCTTATGCAGAATTTATAAAAGGAAATATCTGTGAACTTACTTAGCACCCTTTAAAGCCCCTCAGTCACTGTAAGATTATAAAAATACTGAGAGTGAGGAAAGGTAAGGATGTGTGAGGAGATTTTCTTGGGAGGGCATTTGCCAAACGGTGATTTTTCACAGTTTGGAGGTTAATGTCCAAATACAAGCTAATGCCGGGGGCCTTCAAAGCCCTCTATGAGAGCTTGATATACGTTTCCTTCAGCTGGTGATCACCAGAGAGTAGACATGTTCATTTCCTTGGAGAAACCACACTGCCATCCACAAGGGTATACTCCATCAGAACTCAACAGACTGGTATAGTTCACAATCTCTGAGTCATTTCAGTCTTGAATAACACTAAGTGTGGGTCATCCACATTTCAACTTAAGATTAGCCACACCAAACCTAGGTCCTTTCCACAGTTTCTTTCATGCCACCTTCACTGTGGTGATGACCAGGTCTCAAGTCCTTCTAGCCCAGTGTGTTGGACAACTCTTATGCACTGCTTCAAATACTCTTGGCCTTATAGTCTTATCCTAATCATTGCTATAGGAACCAGTTTATCTCCTGCATCTACTACATGTCAGCACAAGCTAACATGTCAGACTCCTACCCTAGTAGCCCACACCTCTCACTTTTGCCTCAGGACTTCTTTGTCCATGCAACAAGAGACTCCTGCAGGAACCACCACACACTGATGCATGCTCAACTCAGAAGCACTGGAGAATTAATGCTTGGTGGAGCAACACCTGACAACAGAGGTCAAAGGCTGGCAGATATATGCTCCCCCCTTCCACTCCTCAGGACAGGTGTTCTGAGAGCATTCCGTAAGGCTTCTCAAAAAGTCCCGAGGACTGAGCAATCATTCACCCCTTGCAATGGGCAACTGGATAGCACATAGTTTTGTTGATTCCCCTTTCTTTCCTGTTCATTCCTGAGTAAATCACTCACATATCAACCTCACCTGAGGCTCTGCTTTAGGCGAATTCAAACTAAAACATCAGTGACTAGAGACTTCCCTGGCTGTCCGGTGGTTAAGACTCTGCCCTTCCAATGCAGGGGGCACAGTTTGATCCCTGGTCGGGGAACTAAGAGTCCACATGCTGCACAGTGTGGCCACAAAAAAAAAAAAAAAAAAAAAAATCAGTGACTAGTTCTCAGCTACTGATCTTCTCTGAGTAAATGTTTGAGTATCACAAATACACATACATATGTATACACCCATCCAAGAAGAAATAATATACAAACATAATGAAATTTAAATTCAAAATAAAATAAGTATTTCTCCCCCAAAATCCCAGTTTTCAGAGAACTAGCTCTTCTAAAGCGTATCACCAATTTTCATTGCTAAACATAAGTATTTTATTCACAGGATAAAATATGTACATTTGGGTGACTTCAAGGGTTTCCCTAAGAGTTATGGGTGAGAATTTGCTTTATGTTCGCATAACTCAAACGTCCTAGAGATGGTTTTCCCAGTCTGCCCAAATGTAAATTTCAAGCCTTCACTTCCGGTGTGACTGAAAACTGTTCACAGCTTTTTAAATGGCTATTTTCCTTTCCAGCTTCTTGCTTTTAAGGTTTCAGGAGATCTTGGGGTGTCCAATCTCAACCATGTCACCCTTAGGCAGGATATATTTTACATGGTTCAGTTTGAACTCCCAAATTACTTCTGTGTGATTAGGTGCTTTAAGATCTACAGGATTCATGGCCAGCTGCAAAGTATACTGGGGAACACAGTTTTTATTCAGGGTGGTATTGTGTCTAGGGAAAAAATTAGGGGCTCCAATATGATGTAAGAAGAGAAGGATGTCGAACTAGCAGTTTCTGCCACTCCCCTCCACAGCGACCTTCCTGCAACCCCAGACTGAATCTGAAACGCTTAGTACGAAACAGGAATGTCAGCCCTGCCCAGTAATAAACTCTCTGGGAGGGCAGAGTCCCCACTTTTCGTCAGGGCTCAAGGAGAGGTGGGCGGCGAAAAAGTCTCCCACATAATTTCTCATATACATTCACAGGGTACTAGTCCGAGGATCCGTTCTGTATTCTCAGAACCCCTCCCACCTCGGGTTCTGGTTTGAAACAGGCATTTCCGGGATTGGCGCGCGGAAGCGGGGAATACCCCGGAAGTATTTCCCTGTGGTCCTACGTAGGAAAGATGGCGGCGACGCAAGTAGCGGGTTCTTTGACGAGCGGACCGGCGAAAGAGGCGCAGGGGGAGCCACCCCTCGAGCAGGGCCGTGGGTTCCGCTGCTTGTCAGCCAGGCTCTGCGCCCTGCGACCGGATGACAGCAGCTCCAGCCGCACCGAGCTCCACCTGCTCTTCGACCAGCTCATCTCCGAGAACTACAGCGAGGGCAGCGGCGTGGCCCCGGAGGTAGGCCCGCTGGCCCCGGCCCCACCCTTCAGGGACCTTAGCTGGTGGCTCCCGCCCGCCTCTCTAGCCTTTTCGCACCCCCACTTCGCAGTGCTTAGTTGCAGGCTCGTTTGCTGCCTCCGTCCGTGGCACATTTTCCGCCCTCCCTTTCTGGAAGAACTGTGCCGTGCCTGGCAAACTAGCTTCTTTCAAAACCCAGCTTGATGACTTCTGCTCCGATAACATTGCAGGTGTCATCTCTGGTGCCACCTTCCCGTCCCTCCGCTCCCCGCATTCAGAGCACTTTGTGTATAAAATTCCTTACTACCACGTACTGTACTGTACCGTACACGGTTCTAGGGATCTTAGAACGTGGGTATTATTAGGTCTATTTTACTGATAAACATACTGAGGATCACAAAAAAGGTCCAGTGTCGTATTGCTGGCAAAAGGCAGAGCTAGAATTGGAACTAAAGTGTCTCAAAGTCCCAGCCATTTTCTGTTCCTCCATGCTAGCTCCGCACTCTCTGAAGTACTTTGGCTCTGAGCAATAGTATTCACACACATCAGGCCTTGGATGCTACTGAATTCCCTGAACTCTTGACCCAGTCTTACCACTGTTTTCTGGTGCTCACAGGCACCTCAAACTTGACAGTTCTTAAAAATTAGTTCATTGTCTCCATGCACCCACCACATTCTCACATTCATTGTCTCCATGCACCCACCACATCCATGCACCCACCACATCCTCACATTCATTGTCTCCATGCACCCACCACATCCATGCACCCACCACATCCTCCATGCACCCACCACATCCTCACCCACATCCATCCTCACCCACCACATCCTCACTCCGTCCCATCCCCCAACACACACAAACATGGAGTCTGCCCAGTCACACAGAGCAAAGGTGCAGACACTGGTTCTTCACCTTTCCTTCCTCCCAGATCCTATCCAATCTGGATTCTTCAGAATCTATGTCAGAAATGTTTCTCAGTCCACCGCCCCCCCCCCGCCCCGCCCCATTCCCATTGCCAAAGCCTTAGGCCCTCAGGCAAGATGATTCTCCTGGATTGTTCCACTGGTCTCCTCTAACTTATTATTTCCAGCTCTTCTCCAAACCATTCTTTGCTCTCCTGCCAGAGTGACCTTTTCTTTAGCGGAAAAGAATCTCATTAGAAAAGTAAAACTCTGATTTGGGAGGATCTCCAATACATATTGGTAACTGGGCAAAGCAAGTTACAGTATGAGACCAATATAGGGTGGGGAGGGCTTGAACATAAATGTACATTTATAGATGCAAAGAGTTCAAAACAATGTATGGGAGAGTTTACAACAAAATAGTAGTTTGTGTCACTAGGGAGCAGAGTGGAATTAAGGGAGGAGTCGGGGACTTTTGCTTTATTTATATAATTTGTGACTTTCCAGTCTTATGTCCCATCACTCCTGCTTCTGTGCCCTGTGTGCAGTCATTTTAAAACTTGCTGTTCCTCAAGCACATACTGGTGTTCCACACCTATTCCTGTTCCAAGCCTGCCCACTCCATTCCCTTTGCTTGCTGTGTCTTTCGGTGCCTTGTCTGTCTGGCAGAGTTTTACTCATCCTTCAGGTCATTCCAGATTCTGCTTAAAAATCACCTCCACAAGACCTCCCTAATTACTGTATTCCCGCAGAATTTGTACTGAATTCTTTCAGGACCTAATTCACTTTAATTATTTGTGAATAGTATTTCTGTCTCTTTCACTAGATTGTGAGCTCTTTGAGATTCAGGAATATGTCTGTTCATGTTTGGAGCCCAAAGACCTGGCACACTACGTGACACAGAGAAGGTGCTCAGAGCCTTTTAATTCAATAAACATCAATAGGTGAATGAATAGTGTGATTTGCAAATAGGTAAAAAGAATTCCTAATTTTACATGAAATTTGTACAAGTGTCATTTCTGATTTTCCCAGTGACATTGCAAATTTGGTTTGCTTACCCTTTGGTATTTTTAATTTCAGTGTGTGCGTTTATATGCTGGAATCCTTTCTTTGGTTATTTAATTGTACTGTCTCTGCATATGTAGAAATTCTGGAGTCTTTAGCCTGAGAAAAATCATATTGATTCTTTTCCTTTTTTAGCACATGCTATTTTTATGCTGTCATCCTACTCTCTGCCTCATATTTCATCTTTCCCCATTTTGAGTGTGAACGTTCACTTTTATTTTCTCATTTGGCTGTGTTGGGGGCGGGTCTTCTCTTGGCTAACAGGTATAGCACCTTTTCATTGTCTGTTTTTTTTTTTTTTTTTTTTTTTTGGTAGGACGTCAGTACTCTTCTTGTCCAAGCTTGCCAACTGGTGCCTCTTAATCAGAATCATCTTGTCAGCAAATTGTCTCAGCTTATCCACCATTTACTTAACACACTACAGGTAATCATATAGGTAACTTTAGAATTCAGATCATGAATTTTGAGAATAAGTAAGTACCTTTGAGATACTACCTCTGTGATAGGTATGATAGGCTGGTCTTTTCAGAAGCTGTGCAAATGTGAGAAGCAAATGCCTTACTAAGAATTATATTAAAACAAATACAACTCTGACCAAAAAAAAGATTCTACAGGTTTGTCCATCGGAGGTATTCCTATCAATTTGGTTCGGGAAACCAATATCATTCAAGCCCCCAGGTCTTAGAATTTTTCAGGAAAGATATATTTGACTAAGACATATCTATGAATAAATTGAAATATCCTCTACCCCTTTCCTACCAGTATTTTTTCCCCTCTCCCAAAGCTACCATTTTTGTCATCTACTTTTGGTCTTCATAGAACATAAGAAGTAGCTCAGGGGCAAGGTGACCTAGATAATAAGATGCCTGTTATTTATGTCAAGGTCTGTACTGAAGCCCCCCTCTCTTCAGAATGTTTTCCAACTTGCTAAATAAATCTGGTATCTTTTTTTAGGAACAGTTCAAAATTTGAGGCTGTTACTATAAGCTACCACATGAGTATGTGAATGTAGTTAGCACAGAACTTATCAATTAGCATTATGTAATCTAGGATGCTTCTGGCTGCAAGAAACAGAAGAGCCAAGCCAGAATAGCTAAATAATTTTTTAAAAATTATCTTACATCACAGGCCCCAGGGGATGCAGCTTTAGGGGCACTTAATAATTAAGAGGCTTTCTGGCATCTTTCCATTCTGCCGTCCTCAGTGGATGGGTTATCCTCAGCTAGCAACTCTCACACTTAAAATCCAGGCATCCCATGGAAAATAAATAACACCCAGCAGAAGCAAAAGAACTATTTATTTTTTGTCTCTTTTATTTAAGAATGAGGAGGCTTGCCTCACAGACTCTCCAGCAGTCTCTTCCCTGATATCAGGCTGGAGAGACTTAGGTCATACGAGAACCCCTCTACAGCAGTCTGATCAGGGGAATGGTATTACCATGAATGGCTTAAACAAGGGATTTCAACCTTGACTGCCCATTAGAATCACCTGGAGGACCTGTGCTCCCTAGATGGTTACAATATGCAGCTCAGCCCTTATGTCAGGGTTTCTTATCCTTGGCACTGTTGATATTTTGGATTGGATAAATCTGTGCTATGAGGGGGTTGTCCTGTGCATTGGAAGATGTTTAACAGCATCCTGGCCTCTACCCACTAGATGCCAGTAGCATCTCTCCAATTTGAACAATCAAAAATGTCTACAGACATTACCGAGTGTTCCCTGGGGGACAAAATTGCCACTGGTGGAAAACCACTGTCTTAGCAGAATTGGGGTTTACCTTCAGGTCTCGTGTGGGGAAGGTAGACACCCAAATAAGATCAGTATCCTGCCAGCAAGAAAAGAACGGCTCAATATGCTGGAGGTAACCAGGGTAACAGTGGGTAACCAGGTAACAGTGTATGCTGCATGTGACTTGCTAAATGAAATAAGGCTCTTTTCAAGTTTAGAATTTTTCAAACTGATGTGGTGGCTTCTGAATGTTTGCTGTTCTCAGCGGTAACATCTTTTTAACACTGGCAGTTGGAAAAGTTCCTAATCACCCATGGCACCCACAGCCCTTAACCAGGTTTCTAACGTTTGGTGGCAGTTTATTTCAGTTGTCCCTGAATTGGTACTTGGATTAGCCTACTTTATCGCAATAAAATTATAAACTCCTTAAGGACAGGAATATGCCAGCTCTTTCTGTTATATTCCCCACATCATGGCAGAGACATAGTAGCTATTCAGCAGACATATTTAGTCACAGAGTATTTGTTGAGCATTTACTAGGCAACATAGTTGAATTAAAAGTTTTCAGCGGATTGAGTCTTACATATCTGTGTATTTACAGCTGCCGGTGTCTGGTTAGTTCAAGGAAAAGTTACAAGGACTTTGCCAGGTTATACTTTGAGTGGAGGGAGTAAAGGGGAAGAAGTGAGCAAGGCCTTGGGGCAGGGAGGGGGTCCTCTTGATAAGACTTTCAAGGTCTTTAAAGCTGATCTTTTTGACACGAAAAAGATGGATACATGTGCGCTCTCTGTTTCTTAAACAGCTTGATTCAAGTGAGCATTCATGTCTGAAAAGGATTAAATATCTTTCTAGAAGTTAGATCATAATTTTTTCCCCTCTTGATAGGTGATTGTTGATGAACAGAACCTGGATTTCCTGTTGGCATATACTATTTCTGCTATTCAGCAGTGCAGTTCCTGGACACACATGCAGATTCTCCAAGCCTTGGCAGCCCTGGTTTACTGCAACGGCTCCAAGTGTCAAAAGGTAGTTTAAACTGCATTCTGTCTTTCCTTTGAAAGGTTGGGAGCACAGGCTCTAAACCAGCAAGCCTGTGTTCAGGTTTCTGTCCTGCCATTAATTAGATGTGTAACGTTGAGTAACCTTCCTCAGTCACTCTGAGCCTCATTTTCTCACGTGTAAAATAGTTCCTCTGAGGGTGAAGTCTCACTTGTAAAGTGCTTGGCACTTGGTAAATATTAATCATTATTATGATTATCATTACCCTTCAGCTATGCAGCCAAGACGAAAGAGCTTCAGCAACAGCCTAGGCTGGGAGTGCTGATCCTTACTGATGCTTTTTGGGCATATTTTTGCATGCCTGTCTGAAGGATTTACCTAGCAGCTAGTGTTTTGGTACCTAAATTCCCTTTAGTTAAAAAAAAGAAGAAAGAAATCTATTTAAAAAGTAATGTTTTCCTAGAAGCTTTTCTTCGGCCAACATTGGCTGTGATGTTGTTTCAGTACCTCCCAGACTTGCTTGGCAAGAGCGGACTCTTGATGAAGCTGAGTGACTTGGCTCAGTCGGACCCTGAAGTTAGGAGAGCTGCAGTGCATTGTATGGCAAACTTATGTCTCAGGTATGTGGAGTCAGTCAGATTTCCCAGGTGTAATAAGATAGGGCCTCTCATGGGCCCTTTGTAGGTGGTTCAATCTGTCTGAAGCCAGAGCCAACTTAGAAAAATAACCTACTTTGCATTTCCCATGCTCTTTGCTAGTGACATCATCTTATGTTGTTTATTTTTAATTTTAATGTTGCTTATGAAGAAAGCTTATGAAGAAGTGAAGGACTAGGACCTTAGACTAGGACTTTATTTCTAAAATATGGTAAAAGTGATCTATGTGCAATATGTTGAGGTTTTGTTTTCTGTTGGTATAAATTCTAACCATATTAAGTCTTCGAGAAGGATATATTCATATTAATTTAAGCTTTGGTGAGATATATCTGTCAAGGCCAATTTCCTTTAAGAAAACAGAACCAATCCCAACTGCCCAATTCTAAATTCATGCAATAGAAAATGAGTGGCACAAGCTTGAACTGATGCGTAATATCTTATCTCTACATTGCAGTGTTGTCCAGTGGCTAGGAAGGCAGCTTCAGCTGTGTGATTCTAGCTTGACTACCTGTCTGCATTATTTCCCTCTCAGAACTGAAAAGCATAATGAAAAAGATTTTGCTTTCTGTGTACTTGTTTCACTATAGACTTCTGTAACTTTTCCCTGTGGAAACCGTTCTTCTTCCTATTCGTTCCAGCCTTGTGCTGGTCCACAGCAGTAGTTAATTAACCGGAGTGCACAATCTTCTATGATACAGTTTCATCCAAGGGTATATTCTAACTCCATTAGTCAGTATTGCTGTTACTTTTAATTCTTATTCTTTGCAAGCCCCATTTCAAAGGCGACTGAGTTGGAGTTGCTTTTTCTGTGTGTGTTTTAGTGTGCCAGGACAGCCGTACTTGGAGGAGCCCTACCAAAATATCTGCTTCCAAGCTTTCTTGACCACTTTACAGTCTCCAAAATCATCTGATATGGATGATATCACGTTTTGCATGGTAGGTGAGACTACTACTAATCCTGTGACTGTTACAGATGTGTTTACAAGCAGCAGTAGAACAAAAGCTGCTATTAAAGAGTTTAATTTTGTTGCTGTATTAGTTTTGTCTAGAGATATAGGCATAAGGGGATGTTTATAACCTAAAAAGGCTGAACCCATATCTTTCAGGTTTAAATTACAAGAAATTATTTTTGTTTGTTGTGTTTTGCCTTGTTTTTTTGTTTGTTTTGCAATTCTAGGTTCTTAAACTATTTTTACCCTCCTGACTATAAAAGTGGAAATAAAAAATTTCTGACTAGTGACTGTCTTTTAGATGGAATGGAAAGGAGTGGATTTCAACAATATCTGCAGTATTTTATTTCTTTTTTTAAAAACCTGATGCAAATATGACAGTTTATTAACATGATTTAAATTCAAAGTGACACGTTTCAAAAATTACAAATCAAAGATGGCGAAAGTTTCTTATAGTCCCCAGCTTAGACAGAGCCACTGGGAACAATTTGTTCTACATGCCCCCAGATTTTTTTTGTATATAAATGAGCATATTTATAATTTTTAAGTGGGATCATATTTAATATGCTGTTCTGCAGCTCTCTCTCCTTTTTAAACTTAATATATCTTGGACATCTTTTCAATCAATACCTGTTGATGTACTTCATGCTTTCTAACTGCTGTAGCTGGGAGACCTTGGCAATTTACTTAACTTCTTGAGCCTACATGTTCCTCATCTCTGAAATGGGAGAAATGTTATAACCACCTTGTAGAGGTCTTATGAGGTGTATATGAACTGTTCATAAAAGCACTTAAATATGCTTGGAAAAGTGCTTGCTATTATTGTTAAGTTTCATATGTAGCAGAGGGTTAGCTTCTTAAATATCATAATTGATGGAAAATTAAAGTTTTTTTCAGTGATTGCACTATTTCAAACAAGGCTGCAGTTCACATCCTTTCCATGTAGGGAGTATTTTTTAAGGACAGAATCCTAGAAATGACATTACTGGCCAAAAAATTAATCTTGATCAGAATTGCCCTCTAGAAACCTGTCCCCACATACATTTCTTTGCTTTTAAGAGCTGCTGTGAAAAGAGCTGCTTTGGTTACTGCATGATAGGGATTTCCTGTTTCCAGTCTCTGCTGCCACATTTTTATTCCTATCGTACTGTTCTCACTAAACATCTCTTCTTTTTTTTTTCTTGCTCACGATTAGTACGTGCGGGTTTATAAACATGTATGAAAAGACCACTCATTCAAGAGAAGCACTCCATTCTTCTAGAAAATAATTAGTAGTAGCTCATCAGCTTTCTTCTCTGGATCCTCATCTCTGCTCTTTTTTTTCCCCTCCCCTGTCTAAAGTTTTTTTCATCATCTAAAGACTTCTTTCTCCATCCTACGTGGTGCTAGAAAGTTGGTCCCTGGACAACCAAATTTCATTTACCTTTTAACTTGGTCTCCTTTTTCCCTCTAGTTGTTACAAAATGCATTAAAAGGTATACAGTCTCTTCTAAATGGTGGGAAGATGAAACTGACACAGACTGATGAACTTGGAGCTCTTCTGGCTGTGCTAAAGGTAAGGCATTGCCCGTTTAAACCCCAGGTCTTCATGTGGTTAGTGTCTTTCCTGTTTACACCCCAGACATAAGGACCAGTTTACATCATTACTCCAAGGCTAGCTTTAGGGTATTATATTTTAAGAGAGAAGAATAAAATGTTCATATTTAAACATATTTAAAATTAAGAACTGGGACTTCCCTGGTGGCACAGTGGTTAAGAATCCGCCTGCCAACACAGGGGACATGGGTTCAAGCCCTGGTCCAGGAAGATTCCAGATGCCGTGGAGCAACTAAGCCCGTGTACCATGACTACTGAGCCTGCGCTCTGGAGCCTGCAAGCCACAACTACTGAAGCCCGCGCGCCTGGAGCCTGTGCTCCGCAACAAGAGAAGCCACCGCAGTAAGAAGCCCGTGCACTGCAACAAAGAGTAGCCCCCGCTTGCCACAACTAGAGAAAAGCCCGTGTGCAGCAACGAAGACCCAGTGCAGCCAAAAATAAATTAATTAATTAAAAATAAATAAAATTAAGAACTGAAAAGACTAAATCTTGCTTTAGTAAATTTATGAAAATTCTAAAATTTTATTGGGAATAGATTATGAGGTATGATCTGTAGATTATTTAATTTTAGATTATGTTGAATCTGTTTGGACTTGAAAGAGGAACCAGTGCTTCTCCTTGGCTTTAGCTCCCATGTAGTAGGCAGACCAATCAAGATGTGTATCATTAGGCTGCCATCCTTTGGCTTCTGAGCCTGCCAGTCAGTGGGAGAGTCAGATCAACCTCTCTGGGGATCCAGCTGTCTTCAGTTCAGCCAAGAAATAGTAAGAAACTTTGTGGTGGCCTTAGATCAAAGCCATGTACGATAACTTAGCTTTATCATGACTAAAACTTTAATTCTTTTCCTGTACCATCTCCTCTACTCCCTAGTAGATAATAGAGAGCTAGATTTGGACATGGATATGCTAAATAAAATGATAGATTGGTTAAAAAAATTATCGATAAAATATTGGACAAAACTGATTGGGTAAATTTTTTAAATTAGTAAATAAAAGTGGTAAGTAAATAAACTAGAATCTAAAGTTTAACCTGATCTGGCCAAACCAGATCCCTCTGGTCTAGATGAAATTAAACTCTCCTTTAAGCTCTAAACCTTCAGGGTATCTATTTTCTTTCTCATTTCAGTTTCCTTAATAAAGCTTTTAAACATTAATCTATTCATCTGTGATTCAGAACATGGTGAATAATTCTGTTTTATGATTTGTTGTATGTGTGTTTGTGTGTTCCTTAACCATCATTATTAGAAAACCATGTTCCATGGACTCCCTGGACTAAACATAGAGATGCCCACGGTGTTGTACCCCACTCCACTTCCTCAGTATGATGGACGACCACCCATCAAACCGCAGCAGACAGAATCCAGCACTTCTCGACCAGCTGTGGTACATTTGCATATATTTAGATTTAAGTTGTGAATTGTTTTTAATTGCTTGCTATGTGTGTTTTCTATGATTTGCATCACTGCTGTGCCAAAGGCTCACCTTGAATTTGATTTCAAGTTAGGGTTTTTAGCATAGTAAATTTAAATTATCAGACTGCTAAAACTACCAGTTAGAACATCTTATACTTCTAAGCAGTCTAGGCAATGTAGCAGCTATAAAAATGGGCATTCACTTTATACCCATAGCCAAGCATCCGCATCCCTCAAATGCTTAACGCCACAGGTCAACAGACTTTTTCTCCAACAGGCTAGCTGGTAAATATTATAGGTCTCTGTTGCCACTGCCAAATTTCCCAGTCTTTCCAGATAGCTGCCATCTCCCTCCTGTTTCTGTTGGAGAACCTAAAGCATACAGATATACGGCTGAGGTATTACACCTAGAAATGTAATACCTGATTAAAATGCTTATAATTAGAAATTCTTTCACTCATTCACTTAATCAACATTTACTGAGCATCTGTTATATCCCAGACATTGTGCTAAGCATTAGGAACATAGACTGTGGTTTTAGGAGTTTGGGGGAGAAAGCAAAGGTGGATAAATACACAACCACGTTGCAGTATTATGATTCCTTTCAACAGAATATTCACGGGGTGTTCTAGGAGCACATTCAGGGCAACCAACAGAGGAGTAAGGGGTGCTTTTTAAAAGATATAGTGGCTAACCTGAGCCTCAAGAATGAGTATAGAGAAGGAAGGAAGGAGAATGTTTTATTCAAAGGGAACAACAGGTACACAGTCTTAGGGAATGCGAGTTGAACAAGGGGCTAGAGTGTCAGGTGTGTGGAGGGGAAGGTGGGACAAGTATGTAGCAGAGGCCAAATCATAAGGGTCATATACAGTGTGCTGAGGAGTTTGGGTTTTTATCTTATAGGTGGTGGAAATGAAGCATCTGATACAGGGGAGTGACATGATCAGATTGGCATTTCAGAGAAATCACTGTGATAGCAAGTGAAAGGGTGTGAGTCTGGAGCCACGTTAATAACTCAAGGTAGAAGTCATGAGGACCTTCTCTCCTAAAGGCTAGGGACCTTGAGAATGCAGAGGAGAGCACAGATTCCAAAGATCTTTGGATGTCCGAAAGAAGGAAGTAGCAGAAGAGAAAGAACCTGGCTTTTACTTTAAGTTTTTTGTTTTTCGTTTTTCATTTTTTTGGCTGCGCTGCACGGCATGCAGGATCTTAGTTCCCCGATCAGGGATTGAACCCGTGCCCCCTGTATTGGAAGTGTGGTGTCTGAACCACCAGGGAAGTCCCAGGCTTTTACTTTATATCTACAAAGCCCCAGTGCTCTAAAACCTGGATTGTATGTAGAGGAGTAACATCCCTCCTATGCATCTAGAGTGGTGCTAACTGCGTATCCTGTTTGGGAGAACTGAGAAAATAGTCACTCAGGTCATTTTCTGTAGACCTTGATCTCTTGCAGAACCTTTGTTGAGAAGGCTGAATGCTTTCACAACCGTTCAAGGAAGGTGGCATTAGTCTGTACTTAAACAGATGAGGAAAGGCAAGCTCAGCGAGGCTAAATGATTTGCCCAGGATCACAGATACAGAATTTAAACCCAGGTCACAAGGTTTGCTCTGTCCCATGTATTTCCTACCTTGTTTCTTTTGGTCCAGTAAGTTGTACATAAACACTTAGCATAGTGCCTGACGTATGGAGTATTAAGTGCTGCTTTTTTCTCTTCTCCTCTTCTTTATCCGTACTATGTGTTGGAGACATATTTAGTAATTATCAAATGAGAAGTTACCAATAGCTATCATATATATGTTTTCATTTGCTCCTAAAATCAGAATAAAAGGAAAAAATCAAAAGTAAAAGCGAAGAAAATCCAGCAAGGAGAGGAGGAGGAGGAAGAATCCAGTGGTGAAAGAGAAGTAGCTCCAGTCACTGGCTCAGGCAGACTGAACCCGCATAAAGGGGACACTCAGTGCCCCTCCTCCCTGGGTGTTTCGAGTTTGCCATTAGCTGGAAGTGGAGCTGCAGGAAAAGACCAAGTCTCCTCATCCTTCAGTTCTTCCAGTTGGAAGAGAGTCAGCAGTAGTGAGTCAGACTATTCTGATGCTGAAGGAGGCATGCAGAGTAAAGTGAGGTAGTAGTATTTTGTTATATTTTTATGCCTTATATTCTAAGTTGTGTGTATAAGTTTCTAACCTTGCTTAAAAGTCTGACTGCCGCATGTGATTTAACTTGGAAGAGTCTCATTTACGTGGGACTTTGTATTACTATGCATTTTGCATTGTTCTCTTATCTGTCTTTGTACATGTGGTTCCTCTGCCTGGGTTATTCTTTCTTTCATGTTTTTTGCCTTTTGCCTTGTTAACCACTACCCATCTTCAGTATGAGCTCAGCAATCATATACTCTGAGAAGCCTTTTCTGACCCCTTATTCCAGCTTAGGTACCCCTCCTATGTGACTGTTTGACTTATCTCTGATTACTGTGTTGTAGTCTCTTTAACTGTATGTCTCTGCCTTTAATAAGCTTGTCAAGGGCAGGGGCTTAGTTTATGTCTGCCAGCCTCAGTACAGTGCCTGGCACATACGTAAGGATTCTCAGTACATATCTGTTGGATGAATGGATACTCTGCAGTATCTCATATTTAATACTGATTTCCTAATATCAAAATGTTGCCATCTTATTCTCTATCTAGTTGTGTTTTTTTAATTGTTGACTTTATTAACTTGTTAGATAAACAAATTGCTTTAACATGTTTTGATCACATTTTGAAATAATTTTTAAAATGTTGGCATCTTTCAGATTTATTTAGAATGTTGAATTTCCCACTGTATCATTTGAGTTGGCTGGAATAAATAGCATTTCATGCTTATGTTTTTAAAAACAATTAAAAGGCTTTTTCTTCCTTCTTTTGGTTATTAAAGGTCTTACCAAGCCAAAGTTCGCCAAGGAGCATTAGCCTGTTTTCTTTCTACTATAAAATCAATAGAAAAAAAAGTTCTTTATGGCTACTGGTCAGCCTTTGTTCCTGATACACCTGAGCTTGGAAGCCCACAGTCTGTGTCCTTGATGACTCTTACATTAAAAGATCCTTCTCCAAAGGTAAGAGCATTTAAATTCTAAGGGTTATAACTAGGAAGAAAATCTTTACAAGTCTTTGTTGTTTTCTCTGCCCCATCTGATCTTACTGCCCCATCTGATCTTATGTGAACAAGGCTCTTACTAATACCGACCCAAGTCCTGACTTGAGAACCACTAAATGGGCAGGAGGATAGGGAATGGGCTTATGTGAATATCAGGTAGAGGGAGATCACACTGAGCTCACCTCCTGCCCCAGGGCTTGCTTGAAGCATGAGCACACTGAGTTATTGTTTCAGTGTCCTCTGAGCTGCGCTGAAGCAGCTGTGCTTCTCTCTCTTTTATGAAAATGTTGATTGCCATGGTGTTTATAATAGAAAGAAGTTAAAAATGGCTTTAATACTCACTGGAATATCATGGTATATAATGGTTATGAAAGATGTATAAGGCTTAGGGAAATGCTGATGATGCTTTATGAAAGTATAGGATATAGAATTATATGATCCCAACAGTGGTTTTTTTTCCTTCAACTTTTCCATATTTTTCAAATCACATGTAATAAATAGTAATACATATTTTTATGAGAAAAACTTATTTTTAGAAAAGAAGGAAAAGTAACTTGGCAGTCATGGATAGTTACAGCAAGGTAACTATGGCTGATCAAATATTTACCTCTTCTTGGATATGTTAGCTATTTTCCAGAAGTTAGCTTTTTACCCAAATAAGGAAACCAGTGTGGTGTTTAGATTCCTCTTACAAGAATGAACATTAAAAAGTCATGCTACAGGGCTTCCCTGGTGGCGCAGTGGTTGAGAGTCCGCCTGCTGATGCAGGGGACACGGGTTCATGCCCTGGTCTGGGAAGATCCCACATGCCGCGGAGCGGCTGGGTCCGTGAGCCATGGCTGCTGAGCCTGTGCGTCCGGAGACTGTGCTCCGCAATGGGAGAGGCCACAACAGTGAGAGGCCCGCGTAACGCAAAAAAACAAAAAAAAAAACCAAAACAAACAAACAAGTCATGCTACGTGGCATCTGGTATCCTCAGGTAATTAACCTACCCTCTCAAAATGAAAGTTTTAGTTAGGCCAATAGTATTGTTTTCTGTTTTTAAGATTTTTCCCTTAAAAATGAGGAGGACTAGCAATCCATCATACATTGAAACTCCCTTTGATCATCTCCTTGAGTAGCTAATTACTATATAAGAAAACTTCTAAATGACCCTTCAACACTCTTACAGGGTGAAGAAAAATAAACTAGCCTCAATTATGCACACACAAAAATGCCTTGTACGGTATTTCAAATACCCAATATACTAAATAGTTAAACCAGTAGAAATTTTTCAGATTGACTGAATCATCGGCAAATGAGAACCTGAAAAATGGTGGTGGCAAATAAATAAATAATGAGGCCATTCTAGTAATTGGAAGGAAAACTGCTATGAAGGTTGAAAAAATATATATATATATGTATTTATGTTTTTGAAGACCCTCCAGCTGAGGGGAGCTGCCGTAAGTAGCCAAGGAGATGGAGACGAAAGTAGATTGAAATAATATTCATGATGTTTATATCTTTGTATTTTTCGAACATTTACATTTGAATTGCCATGAGAAATTTTACTTACTGCAAAGTGGTCCTCCTTGATTTGTGTACTTCTTACATATGTTCTTGCTGTTTAATTTCAATAATGCAAGAGACGTGATGAGTGAAAAAAAGTATAGAACTCCCTTCTGGAGAAGTCCTAGGTCTAGCACGAAAGCCACACAAAGGTCCTGGAGAAAGGGAAGACCAGTCATCATTCTTACACAGTTTTTTAAAAAGATCAAAGTAATGATTAAAATTCATGAGTTCAGTGTAATGGCAAGTGAAATGAATATACTCAGATTTTTTAGCAGATACTAGGTTTAGAAGGGTGTAAATAAGGGTCATGATAATTGTCCACAACAGGTCTTGGAGTGCACCACTGCAAACTGTCCGTAGTGTAATTAATTGTGAACCAAGACCCATGTTAGAAAAAAGTGTTTTGGTAGATGATGTCAGTGAGAGAGTCTTTTTAGAAAGACTTCTAGAAAGTTACGTGCAAAAATTAAAAGTACTAGTTCATGGACTTCCCTGACAGTCCAGTGGTTAAGACCCTGTGCTTCAGCTGCAGGGGGCGTGGGTTCAATCCCTGGTCGGGGAACTAAGATCCCACATGCCGCAAGAAATGGCCAAAAAAAAAGTACTAGTTCATGTCATTGGAATAGAACAGCATTCTGGATTGATCAGAGCTAGGTTAAAAGGCGCAGCCATGTGTAAAAGCTGAGTGGTCATCTCAGGTGCTTATTGAGTATAGAGTTGGATAGTATAGACTGAAGTTTGTATTAGCCAGGATGAAACATGACAAGACAAAAATAATGTCTCTTCTCCTTGAAGTACACAGTGATGATGGTTTTGAGTTCATGGCAGCTCTGATATGACCTATGGTAGATTCAATTGGAAGCACAGTTGTCACTGATATACTGAGAAATTTTCCAGAGAGAAATGGACAGAAGGAAACATGATTGGACTACTCCATTCAGAACACCAACAATGACAGGGATTACTTTCAGGAAACTGGAATGTAAGATGCTAGAATGGTTCATTGAGAAGGAGAAAACTTAGAAATTTCCTCTAGGATTTGGCAGTGTGATGGTACTTGGGAAATTGTCACATGTTTACATGCTGGAAATGTGCTTCAGAAAGCACATCCTATGTTTTCAGGCAAGATAGAGCAATCAGTATAATAACACGACTAATTAAAATAATACTAATGCTACTAGTAACAATATGACTAATCTAAGAATTTCTTCTATATGATTTCCTCAGGTGTTACAAAAGTAGATTATGTATATATATCAACAAGACGTGACCTAAGGGACAAACTGTAGGGCATACCTTCTTCTTGGTACCTTTAGAATTATCCTGATTTTCAAATTCCATGATGATTATTTATTTCTCTTTTAAAGAGCTATGAAATGTGGAAACAAATCAAAATCTAGATAATAGATATCATAACTAGGAAAGAGAATAAAGAGTTGAAACTTTTAACTGTCACGGAATGGTAGGTAATCAGGTTTCCTCTTTTATGGTCAATTAAGAACAGGTGACCTTTGCTTGGAGGTCTCTAAGTCTAGAGACCTTGACACAGTAGGCACATGCCTCCACCTAAAAGGCATCCAACTTTGGGGGTGTGCTCAAATGAAATTAACCCTGAACATATGTGAAGGATAATCAGGACTTGGACAAAGCCAAAGACAAGCACAGCCAGGTGCCCTGCATTGAAACCTCAGTGGTAGCCATTCCCAGCAGTGACGACTTCATCACTCTCCCAGAAATATGCTGAGACTGAACATACATAAAAAAGGAAAAAATAAGGATTGACTGAGCTACCTCAGCAAAAATTTCTGCTATATCCTTAAATAGCAAAAAAGGAAAAGTGCTTTCTTGTTTCATTACCTTTGAACAAGCCTTCGTGCCCAAGGAGGTAAAACTACCCTCTAGTGAAACTGAGTGCACTGATGTTTATAAGATTAAAAAGGCTTTCATCTACCAATGTAAATATTCAGACAATAAAAACTTAACAAAATGAGCTGTCTGGAGAGCTGCACCTCTTATGGTTTGCTTGTACATCAGTACTGTCTGCTGGAAGTGCTGATTAGAATGGTAAACAGTATTAAATATTGATATAAAAATAAATGAAGCAGAACTTGAACCTGATTCAGTGTCATGAATAGCATTTTTATAACAACAGAGGTATATTAAACAGTGTTTAAAGGAAATAAATCAGCACTATGAGAAGTAAAATTCGATATAGTATCATATTTCCATATAGATTTTATACCTCGATGGTAGAAAATGACTAATTTCAGTGACATTCTTTTGTTTTCATCTGTGATAGTCATGAATGCTTTTTCCCACTTTAGGTACCAAAGTTAATTGCGCTGAAAAATTTTTACTTTTGAATATTAGTTCATTTCTTTCTACAACTTGGCTTTTAATTTTATTTGGTTTGTGAGCTGTTGAAATTGTCATTTTTAATTATGTTCTAAAGAAATGGAGGTCTAGCATAACATCCGCCTTTTTTGGTTAAGACCAGCCAGCAGTCTAATCAGAGGTTGACAGACTATGGCTTGTGGGCCCAGTCTGGCCAACTACCAGTTTTTGTATGACCTACGATCTAAGAATGGTTTTTATGCTTTCAAAACATTTTTTTAATCAAAAGAATAATATTTTGTGACATGTAAAATTTATATGAAATTCAGATTTCACTGTCCATAAGTAAAATTTTATTTGAACACAGTCACATTTATTTCTTTGTACAGTGTCTGTGCTCCCATAGCAGAGTTGAGTGGCCGCAACAAAGACTCTGTGGCCTGTGAAGTCTAGACCATAAAATTTGTGCTACTGGCGCTTTATGGAAAAGGGTTGCTAGCACCTCATCTGAGTTCTTGGACCAGCTGACTTGTGCACGAGCTCTCTCTCTGTCTCTTTGTCTCTCTGACACACACTTTCCTAATACATTGTCAACTTCCTGCCTTCCTTAAGTGATTATGCTTAATTCCAAAGACTCATACTACTATACTACAAATTTGTTCTCAAAGCAATAAATCTTTAGTTTTTTGTTTATAATTCCATTCTACGAAAAGCATGCAGAAATGATTTATTTCTTGGTAATTTGGAGATAACAGTTGAAGATTTTCTGGAAAACCTTTTCACACCAAACTCAGATATGCTTCATATTGAGTAAATACTTAGATTAGATCCTAGAATTATAATGTTGATTCCTTGCTTTTTAAATATCTGACTGAAAGGTTTAATTGACATTTTGGGGTGAGCTGGCCAAAGAGGGTATAGTATTATTTCATATTAGTAGTCCTGCATTTATCACCTACATTCCATTTTGGTTAAATTGGCTTTCTTTTCCTTTCTTTTTTCTTTTCTGAGTTTTAATACTGCAAAATCATCAGAATACTAATTACAAGTAATCTTTTAACCTTATAAAGAAAATCTTAATGCAGTGGCACTATTCCTGATAGATACAGCAGTCCATTGATAAAGGTGCACGTTTTCCTTTCTATCCATAAAGTTATATTTAATAGTATTCCTTTGAGTATCAAAGATTTTATTGCAGATTTTATTTTCTGTACCTAAGAATGTGTCTGAAAGTTGGGTCACTAATGGTGCCTGCCAAGCTGAGTATGCACAAAGTTTCTAGTATCCTATGTAATTAATATTGAGCACTCATGGATGCTTTAGGTTGGAACGTAAAGCAGAAGGTCCTCGGGAGCTTTGATATGAAACAGACCCTAGATGCGTGTAGTTTTTCCTGCCCACAGGCGGTTTGCTTTTCTCTTTTCATTTGGCTTTATGCTTTAATAAACTAGGCTTCTCATCTTTAAGTTATTTTCATGCTTGTGACATCAGGTTTTTATACTGTGGTGCAGCTTAGGCTTATTCCTTACAGTAGGAAACCCTAACAGCCATGTGATTTGAGGCTCTGTTGGTTTTTTGAAGTGTGGGGGTGGGGCGGCACGCAGGTGGCTTAGTTCACGGCTGCTCTTAGGGCCTGGTGGATAATCACATTGCCCTCTAATTAAAGGAATCCTAAATACTTTGAAAATGAAAAACATATATATAGGAAGAAGGGGATTCGACTCCTGATTTCTAACTGATGTGCATCATCCTGAAATTTCAGACGCGTGCCTGTGCTCTGCAAGTTTTATCTGCCATCTTGGAAGGCTCAAAGCAGTTTCTTTCTGTTGCTGAAGATACCAGTGACCACAGAAGGGCTTTCACTCCCTTTTCTGTAATGATCGCTTCTAGCATTAAAGAGTTGCACAGATGTCTTTTGTTAGCTTTGGTGGCTGAATCATCCTCACAGACCCTTACTCAGATAATTAAGGTAAATGTGCCAAGTTATCGGTGAGTTAACAGAGGCAGTTTCTTTCTTTTTGCATAATGTTTATATTGCCCAAAAGTGAATTGACAAGAATATAACTAAGTAGTAATTTTATTAAAGATATCCTGTTTGGAAGTCTGTTTCTACTTGTCTGATCATACCTACAATCTCTGTATGTACACCTAAATGTTTTACTAAAAATACTGCTTTATCTTTAGTATTAAGTTGGACCAATGAGAATACAAGTGCTATTCCCCCTGGAAAAAAAAAAACAAAAGGACTGATTTTTAAATAAGTATAAAGACTTTTTAAATTAAAGGCTCTAAAATTTTGTCTCTATGCTGTGACTATATCAGGCCCACTGATGAGCTCTTCTTTGTGTTTTGCAGTGCCTTGCAAACTTAGTATCAAATTCACCTTATAACCGTCTGAAACTCAGCCTGCTAACCAAAGTCTGGAACCAGATAAAGCCTTATATCCGCCACAAAGGTTGGTGGTAGTTTGAAACTGATTGCTTCTTTATATCAACCAGATCTAGATTATTAGTTTTTAAAAAATAGAGCATTTTTATAGCTCTAAGATATCTCTGCTTATTCTCCTCAAATTTGGGGGGGGAATCAACTATTGCTGGAACCCCACTTTTGACCTCTAAAGCCCCAGTGGACACCACTGGAAAGAAGTGACCTGGAGAATTAACTGTAAAGTTTAATGCCTCTTCAATGCATCAGTGCAGTGACCAGAGTATCCCTTTAGAATTGAGATTGAGCAAAATCCCAGGGGGGTCCCACTCTAGTATGTAATAGTTCATATCCTTTAGATATAAGTAGAGGATGGATGGACAGTCAGATAGACATTATCCTCATTTTGGAAGGAAGAAGTGGAATATAAAACCTAACTTCTTTAACATTAACTTCTCTGGAGTTCAGATAAAATTTCTGAACCTCAAATCTTCACTAACTACAGTCTTATTTCTTATTTCCTGACTTACTTCCACATATAATATATATGTGTTGCCTTTAGAAGACTTGTTTTTCTTTTGGTTGCAAGCTTCAGGATCAGACCACATTCTGTTGAGTTCTTAGTCAGAATTGTAGAACTTGAAGAAGGCACGGATGTTTTTGTGCCATCGTGGGAGATGTTCTGGACCCAGTGTCAGTCTGCAGCTCACTCCCATTTTTGCCACTGCATAGTCATGACCTTCTCTGAACCCTAATTTCCTCCTAACAGGAAGGTCTATGCCTACCTCATAAGATTTTTATGAGGCTTAAATGAGATAATGATATGTAAATATGTAAACAAAGTCCAGTTCATCCCTTTCACCAATGTGTAAAAGGGGACCCAGGAAGGTAAATCTTGCCTTAAGATTGCTTATCACTTCAGTTGCAGAAGTAAGATTAAGACAGCCCAAGTCTTCTGGCTCAGTCCCCTGCTCATTCCACTGCACTAGCTTTTCTTCATCTGCAAACTGAGGGGAGTGAACCATGTCTCAAAGGTCCCTTTCAAGTATCTGACTTTGTCCTCCAGCAACCTTTTATTATTAAACTGTTCAAACCCACAGAAAATTTGTACTATTGTACAGTGAGCACCTGTTACCTCTACTTAGACTTAACAGTTGTTAACACTGTCATATTTGTTTTCTCTCTCTCTCTACATATATGTATCAGTGTGTATATGTGTACGTGTGTGTGTTTATATGCATATTTTGGTCTATGTGTACGTATTTATATAGACTTACTTCCCTTGAATCATTTGAAGGTAAATTATAGACATATTTCACCCTAAATACCACAGTATGTATCTCCCCAAAATAAAGACAATCTCCAAAAAACACAATACCATTCTCACACCTAAGAAAATTACATTGATTCCATAGTATTATCTAATGTCTAGTCCACATTTAGATTTCCTCATGTGTCCCCAAAAGTCTTTTATAGCTTTTTAAAAAAAACCTGGGTTCATTCAAGGTTCATGCGTGATATTTAGTTTTTATGTCACTTTAGCCTTTTAAACTTTTTTTTTAAATTGAAGTATAGTTAGCATTATGTTCAGGTGAACATAATGATTCAACATTTAAATACATCACAAGTGATCACCACGATAAGTTCTAGTAGCTAGCCATCTCTCACAATATAAAATTACTACAGTATTATTGACTATATTCCTCATGTTGTATATTATATCCCTGTGACTTAATTATTTTATGACTGGAAGTTTGTAACCTCTTAATCCCTTTCACCTATTTCATGTATGCCCTAACCTCCTCTGGCAACCACCAATTTGCTCTCTGTATCTGTAAGTCTGTTTCTGTTTTGTTTGTTCATTTGTTTTGTTTTTTAGATTCCATGTATAAGTGGGATTATGCAGTATTTGTCTCTGTCTGACTTATTTAACTTAGCATAATACCCTCTAGTTCCATCCATGTTGTTGGAAATGGCAAGATTTCTTTTTTTTTTAATAAATTTATTTACTTTTGGCTGCATTGGGTCTTCATTGCTGCATGCGGGCTTTCTCTAGTTGCGGTGCCCTGGCTTCTCATTGCAGTGGCTTCTCTTGTTGTGGAGCACAGGCTCTAGGCCCATGGCTTCAGTAATTGTGGCACATGGGCTCAGTAGTTGTGGCTCGTGGGCTCTAGAACACAGGTTCAGTAGTTGTGGTGCACAGGCTTAGTTGCTCTGCGACATGTGGGATCTTCCCGGACCAGGGCTTGAACCCATGACCCCTACATCGGCAGGCGGATTCTTAACCACGGCGCCACCAGGGAAGTCCTTTTTTTATGGCTGAGTAATATTCCATTGTATACATATGCCACATCTTTTTTATCCACTTAGGTTGGGCATTTAGGTTGTTTCCATATCTTGGCTATTGTAAATAATGCTGCAGTGAACATTGGGGTGCATATATCAAATCAGTGTTTTTGTTTTCTTTGAGTGAATACCCAGAAGTGGAATTGCTAGATCATATGGTAGTTCTGTTTTTAATTTTTGAGGCACCTCCATACTGTTTTCCATGGTGGCTGCACCAATTTACATTCCTGCCAACAGTACATGAGGGTTCCCTTTTCTTCACATCCTTGCCAACACTTGTTTCTTGTCTTTTTGATTATAGCCATTATGACAGATGTGAGGCGATATCTCATTGTGCTTTTGATTTCCCTGATGATTAGTGGTGATCAGTAATGTTGAGCATCTTCTCATGTTTTTCTTGGCCATTTGTATGTCTTCTTTGGAGAAAGGGCTGTTCAGGCTCTCTGACCATTTTTTAATGGGATTGGTTTTTTTTGTTACAGAGTTGTATGATTTCCTTTTTAAGAAATATATATATATGTGTATATATATATACACACACACACACACACACACACACACGTGGATATATCATTGGCAAATATCTTTTCCCATTAAGTAGATTGCCTTTTCATTTTATTAAAGATTTCTTCCACTGCGTAAAAGCTTATTAGTTTGATGTAATCCCACTTACTTATTTTTGCTTTTGTTTCCCTTGCCTGAGGAGACAAATCCAAAAAAATACTTCTAAGACTGGCATCAAAGAGTGTACTACCTGTGTTTTCTTCTAGGTGTTTTATGGTTTCAGGTCTTATGTTTAAGTCTTAAACCCATTTTTTATTTGTTTTTGTATATGATACAAGAAAATGGTCCAGTTTCACTCCTTTGCATGTAGCTATCCAGGTTTCCCAACACCATTTATTGAAGGCGCTGTCTTTTCTCCATTACATGTTTTTGCTGCCATTGTCATAGATAAATTGACCATATAAGTGTGGGTTTATCTCTGAGCTCTCTATTCTGTTTTGATTACTGCAGTGTTGTAGTATAGTTTGAAATCAGGGCATGTGAAATCTCCAGCTTTGTTCTTTTTTCTCAAGATTGCTTTGGCTATTTGGGGTCTTTGGTAGTTCCCTACAAGTTTTAGGATTATTGGTTCTAGTTCTATGAAAAATGCCGTGGGTATTTTGATGGTGAGTGCATTGAACGTGTAGATTGCTTTGGGTAGTAAGGACATTTTAACAGTATTGATTCTTCCAGTCCATAAGCATGGTATATGTATCTTTCCATTAATTTGTGTTGTCTTCAACTTCTTTCATCAGTGTCTTATAGTTTTCAGAATACAGGTCTTTCACCTTCTTGGCTAAATTTATTCTTAGGTATTTTATTTTTTTGATGCAATTGTAAATGGCATTGTTTTCTTAATTTCTTTCTCTGATGGATTGTTATTAGTGAATAGAAATGCAACAGATTTCTGTATATTAATTTTATGCAACTTTACTGAATTCATTTATTAGTTCTAATAGTTTTTTTGGTGGAGTCTTTGGGGTTTTCTATATATAGTATCATGTCATCAGTGACAGTTTTACTTCTTCCTTTCCAATTTGGATGCCTTTTATTTCTTTTTCTAGTCTGATTGCTGTGTCTAGGACTTCCAATACTACATTGAATAGAAGTGTCAAGAGTGGGCATCCTTGTCTTGTTCCTGACCTTAGAGGAAATGCTTTCAGCTTTTCACTGTTGAGTATGTTAGCTGTGGGTTTGTCATATATGGCCTTTATTATGTTGAGGTATGTTCCCTCTGTATCCACTTTGTTGAGGGGTTTTAGCATAAAGGGATGTTGAATTTTGTCAGAAGCTTTTTCTGCATCTATTGAGATGATATATGATTTTTACTGTTCATATTGTTAATGCAGTGTATCAGGTTGATTGATCTGCAGATATTGAATCATCCTTGTATCCCTGAGGTAAATCCCATTTGATCATGATGTATGATCCTTTTAATGTATTGCTGACTTTGGTTTGCTAATATTTTGTTGAGGATTTTTGCATCTGTGTTCATCAGGGATATTGGCCTGTAATTTTCTTCCTTTGTAGTGTCTTTGTCTGGTTTTACTGTCAGGGTAATGCTGGCCTCGTAGAATGAATTTGGAAATTGAATTCTCTTCAGTTTTTTGGAATAGTGTGAGAACAGTTGATATTAAGTCTTCTTTAAATGTTTGGTAGAATTCATCTGTGAAGCCATCTGGTCCTGGACTTTTGTTTTGGGGGAGTTTTTTTGATTACTGATGTAATTTCATTACTTGGTCTGTTTCAGTAATTGGTCTGTTCAGATTTTCTCTTTCTTTCTGATTCAGTCTTGGAAAGATGGTATGTTTTTAGAAATTTATCCATTTCTTCTAGGTTGTCCAATTTGTTGGCATATAACTGTTTATAGTAATCTCTTATGATCTTTTTATACTTCTGTGGTGTTGGTTGTATCTCCTCTTTCATTTCTGATTTTATTGATATGGGCCCTCTCTCTATTTTTCTTGATGAGTCTGGCTGAAGATTTATCAATTCTCTTTATCTTTTCAGAGAACCAACTTCTGGTTTCATTGATCTTTTCTTTCTTTTTTTTTTTTTAGTATCTCTTTCCACTCTGATCCTTATTTTCCCCTTTGAGTTTTGTTTTTCTTTTCTTAGGTTCCTTTAGGTATGAGGTTAGAT